GTTAATAGGAAACAGCTATTTTGCTCCTCTGGGAAGGCTCCACCACCATGACCAACAGTTGGACAATGGGAGATGCTCCCACCACCCTCTGGTGCCTTCCTCCACCCCAGGTGTCCAAGGCTAGCTGGTGCTTTAGGGCTTAATCATTTAGAGATATAATTTAAATTCCCTCTGCACTTGACCCTGGGCTTCCTGTAGTGGTGAAGACCTCAGGGTCCTCTGTAGCATTTGCAACGGAAAGGCATTTCATGGGCTGAAAATTGAGCTGATTCACAAAGGGCTGTTGCCTTCAAGAGATGTTTGCTTCCCTGAAAACCTCTCCATTTATTTATTTCAGCAAAGGCTGGATCAAACCCCACGGGAGGCATCTGTGCTCCACAGCATCACTCTTCCCACCAGCTGTGGGGCCTTTGGCCACATTCACCATGGGCATCAGCATCGCCCGCAACGCTGCATCCTCCACAGCCATCCCACTTTGTGATTCAACAACCCAGAAACCATGGGCTTTCATAAGCCACAAATTATATTTTTTTCATCCTCTGATATGTATTTATGATGGAAAATTAGAGGGTTTCCTAAATTTTCATTTCCAAGCTGGGCTAAACACAGCTCAGGCAGTCAGCAAGGCTTATTTATTTCCAGCTCAAGCAGGAAAAAAAAACAACACAACTTCTTTCCTCGTGTTTCTATAATTTTCTTTTCTGTGCATATGCAAATTGCTGGTTTATTTGTGCAAGATTTATGCAGCTAAATGATGGGGAATTAGAGAGGCAATTCAGCACTTAGAAAGGAGAGAGACAATTGCTGCAATTTGCTCATGCCACGCGCTAATTCCTTCCGAAAACGCTTCTGCTGATTTATCTGCACCAAGCACCCATTTCTGCACCCCTAAGCAAGCTGGGGAAATTTTCTCCAGGGTCAATAATACTGCGAATGGTTTCTGTTTCTTTCTGCCTGTGCCATCACCTCCCTGTAATGCTTTATAGCAATTAGTAACAATAATGAAATATAGTTGTGATTTCTCAGTGCTGGGGAAACTCAGCCAGTGCTTGTGAATCAAGCACATTTTCTGGTGAAATTGGCCATTTAAGCACGTTGCTCAGGAAGCTTTAAATCCACCTCCATGGAGCCCTATGAGCTAAGCTCCACGGGGTGGGGGGGAAAGGCACTGTTGGAAGTGGACTTTTTTTTCCCTGTTTAATTTTTTGTTTCCTCTGCCAAAGCTGAACCTGCTCTGCCAGGTGATGCTCACAGGTTTGGGGGAACTTCTCACCCTGGTGCAAGCTTCCTTGCAAGCATCATCCTCACTGGTGCAATGAGATGTTGGCTTGCAAAGGCAGCAGCAGCAAGAACTGCGATATTTCCCTTGTTTTCCTCCTGGGTGAGGCTGACAGAGAAATCCCACAGGGCAGGGATCCAATTCCCAGAGACAGGATGGAGACAGGACATGGGGACCAAGATCCAGAGCCCCAGGAACTAACCTGGAGGTCCTGCAAAAGGACTTGTAGTTAAATGTCACAAGACAGCTGGTGCCCAGCACTGAGGAGGAAGGGAAGTGATTTAGGTTGGGCCATTATCAGAAAAACATGTGTGGAGGACGGGGCGATGGGAAGAGCAGCCGTTTTCTATTAGGATAAGAGTAGGTCAGGTGTAGTTAAAACTGGGTAAATGGAGCAGGAAATGTGGCTGTATATTACTCACCCAAGATATATTGCACACATTAGCTTTGTTTGATCGGGTTAGTCGGAGGTTCTGTGCTCAGAGTGCTGGTTTAGGGTGGCCAAATCCAGGCTTTGTACTCTATTAAAATAAATATATTGCTGGTGTTTAATAAAGTGGCCCAGTTTAAATGCGAAAGTCTGCGAGCGGGGTAGTCTGGGGTCTTAATGAATCCATGCCTACCACGGGCTTTTGAAGGTGGAAGGTGTGATATTAATATTGTTTACGTAGCAAAATAATTTATGAATATTCATTTAATGCTGTTACCGGCTTCCAATGTGTTTCTGCTCTTGGGAATTTTAATGGATTTTCTGTCCTGGCTGAGAGCTGCACGGGCTGGAGAGGCTTGGCTGCAAGTGCTTGTGTGCTGCCCCGTGCTGCAGAAACAGGGGAGAAATTCTGCATGAATTCCTGGGGGAGCAAGGCTGCTTGGAAATCTGTCAATACCAGCTGCCCTGGTTTTGCAGCAGGATTGGGAAAATGGACTTCTCTTTTCCCTACTAAAAAGCTCTGTGTAGTGCAGAGTCCGTTATTGGCACAGGGCAAGTGAAACCTGTTGGGGTTTTTTCTTGGTGCCTGAAGAGTTAAAAGTGAGTCTGAATGGAGAGAAGCAGAAAAGTGGAGAAGGAGCCACCAAGGGGGACAGTCATTTTGCACTAAAATTAACTTGCATTAGATGATCTGCTAAAAAATAATCCCCTTTATCTTGGCTCTATCCTATGCACCAGTTTTATCTGCATTTGATGACCCTCAGTTCTTGGACAAGCTCTTTATTGTGTCCCTGTGACTCCTTCCAAACCTCTGGGAGAAATACATCCTGATGAATGCATGCTTATGGCACCGTGGTGTCCCTGTTTCCCTGCAGTGATGGGAGGCTGAGTCTGGATCCACTCTTGGATCACACTAATTCCCTACCGGGGACATCCCAAATCCTGCTCTCTGGAGCTGAGCCTCTGCTGTAGCAGGGATGTTGCTGCACGAGCAAACAGAAAACCAAACCAAGTGTCCTGGCCGTGGGGGGTCTTTCCCAGCTCCCCCTTTCCCAGGCTGCCCTGGGGGGGATGCTCAGTGCCTCACCCTCAGCCCCCAGTACATCTGCAGGCAGTAAATCCCACCACAGCCACTGGGCCTTGGTTCCCTCTTTCCTTTCCACAAAGGTTTATTGTTTTGGTGTGACCTGTGTCGAGGAGCCCCCTGAGTTCCAGCCATAGATCTGTCCTTGCCAAGCCCTGGAGGGCAGCCGGGACCCCGGCGGGGTCAGCGGGAGGGTAGGTCATGGCTGGATGGCAATTATCCCCCAGGCTGGAAAAGCCAGGGCCAAGGCTGCCCCGTGACCTGAAGTCTTTTAAGAAAATCTTTGAAGGCTGCCAGGCCAGCCCAGCACTGCCTGTCCTCCCCTGGGCATCCTCTGCAAAAAAAAAATAAAATACTCCCTGCTTCTGCTTAATGTTTGGGTGCTTCCCATAGCAAATATGGAATGCTGTGCCCTGCCCCAGGCATCCCTTGGCTGGTGGGAATGTCCTTTGGCTCTGAAATGAGCATTTTCTGATGAATTCTGCTGTGCTCCAAGTCTGTGGGTTTGGTAGTTTCCCGTTTCCCAGCTCTGGGCATAGTATCATCATGGAATGGTCTGGGTTGGAAGGGACCTTGAAGACCATCTAGTCCCAATCTCCCTGCATGGACAGGGACACCTCCCACCAGACTAGGTTGCTCCAAGCCCCATCCAGCCTGCCCTTGGAACACTTTCAGGGATGAGGCAGCCACAGGTCCTCTGGGCAACCTGGACCAGCATCTCAACACCCTCTGCCTGCCCAAGCTACAAAATGGGGTTAAACATGAAAGAAACGGGCAAACTCTGGGTGTGCAAATCACTGGGCTTGTGATAAATGGGACATGAAGCAAGCCTTGATGGTGACAGGCAAAATAGAAGAAGGTGATTTGTATCCAGGACAGCTCAGGATGGAACAGCCAGGGAGGTGTCACTGTCCCCTATAGACGCAGCTACTCCAGGGGGCAGCCCCGACATGCTTCCTCCTGAGGCTCAGCAGCACTTGATTTATTTCATCTCCAAAAACCAGCAGCCCAATTCCCTCTCCCATCACCAGCAAACTCCATCCCCAAGATCAAGCATCAGGCCAGCCCCTTTGCGTGGCTCCAGGAGGATGGAGGCTGCTGGCTCCCATCAATCTGCTGAAATAAAACCCATGGGCAGAAGGTGTTAGTCTTGGGGGGGGAAGGAAGCTGTTGCCCTGGGGAGATGCCAGCATGTCCTGTCTGCATTAATGAAACACTTTCTTTCTGGTTAGGACGTGAAGGATGCTCATTGAAAATCAGGCTGCTATGGAAACCAAAGGTGTTTAGTCTTTTGGGAATGCTGATGGACGGAGGCAGGGAGAGGTGTGGGGAGGGGGGAGCAGCCTCTGCAGATGAGGCACATGAGCAAAACCTTGGATTCACTGTCACCTGAGGCTGCTCGTTGTGGGACAGGGGGTTGTCTCTTGACTGGATGCTTTTTCTGTCCCCAGGGGCCTCCTTGCCCTCAGCCTTGTCCTGTGGGAATGTGGCACGTGGATCCTCTTCATGAATTGGTGTTGTCCTACTAGTGAGCACGAGCACCTCAAACACAAGGTTCCCACTCCAAATGTAAGCATTTTCATTCACTTGTTCTCTTAGGCTGAAAGAGGACAGTGAGTAACATCCAAAGTTCTCCCAAGGAGGTGGGTTCTTTCAAGGTCTCCCCAAAATGTGCAGGTTAAAAAAAATCCTGGGAAAAGCTGTTAAACGCCTTGCAATAGCCAACACCTCACGTGCAGAGACTGTTTTCCTCTCCTCCTTTCTCTGATGAAATAATATTATTAGATTTAATGGTATCATGTCCTGATCTGCATGGCCTCATGTCCAGGGTGCCCTTGGTGGCTGAGATATTCCTGAGCAGAGCCCAACGTCCCCAGCAGGTCCTCACCCCTCTGCATTTAAAAAATGTAATTTTTTTTCCTAATTTTGTAATGATAGAAAAAAGAAAATAAATTAAACTGCTGTGAAAACCTCCACATTTTGAAAGAGGATGAAGGACCTCATCTGCTGGTGACCCCACCAGGGCTGTGCTTGTCCATGGGGTGGTTGGGAGGTCCCTGGGGCTGATTTCCCAAACCAAATTCTTAAATCACAGATGTGATAAAGTCACTTGGGGCACTCTCTAAACCAGCATGAGGCAAGAGTAAAGATTCCTAATCAGAAGGATTATTTTCTCTTTGGGAAGTGGGTCTCTCTGTGTGAGTTACCTCATTTCTAGATGGACGTACAGGGGGGTTTATAGACACATGTGCCCTTGTATCTGCTTGTGGTTAGTCTATAATGTAGAAACATATGGGCCCTCATGTACTTTTCCATGTATTCCTGTTATTTAGTCTACAAAAATAACTTGAGGGTTAACAATAATAGTAATCTGGAGGATGGTTTTGTTCACGCCAGATAAAATCCTGTGAACAAAGCAATTGGCATCATTTCACTTGCAAATTGAGCAGCGAAGCAAAATACCATTTATGAAACTGTAATTTATTCTTGGAAAATCAAGCACTTACAATGTCAGCTTGTCGCAGGTTAAGTTCCAGAAAAGGGGAAAAATTGATTAATGACAAACGTGACAACATTTCAGGGTAAATCATCACAGCCAAAGCCTTTGAGAAGCTGGTTTGCTCCCTGCACAAACTAGATTTTTATTTTTCCCTCCTGGGAACATTAAAGCAGCGATTGCTTCGGGGCTCTGTGACACCAGCTGCCACTGAGCCAGCAGCAGCAAGGGCTGGGGGGGCCCCTGCACCCCTTTGCCCTCATCCTAATCCTGGGGACTCCTCGCCACCTTCAGAAGCCAAAAAGCCAAGTCTGGCTGGTTATTTTCTTCCCCTGCCTCCAATTAGTCCATCCCTTAACGACCCTCTTCCTTGCAGATGTGCATATTCTTGTTTTTGTTCCTGTGCAACTAAAACTGGGCAATGTGGAGTAGCAAAGTCACCCATCTGTTGGGGATGTCTCTGGTGCCACCACAGTAGAGGCATCAAACCCCATCATCAGCTCCTCCAGAGAAACCACAGGAAATGCTCCATGACCTGATTCCTTGAATAAGGTCTTCCAAAGTTTCCTTCCTGCCCTGACTTATAGTCCCATCATTCTTGGCTCTCTTCCTTCTGAGCAGGAGATCTGACCCCAGCTCGCAGCCATGGCAGTTGCTGCCGTGGGGGTGGGAAGAAAAATAATAGTAGAATTTGGATGAGGGCAGAGCTGGTCAGAGTAAGTCAAGAGGTGGTTAGGATGTCTGGCCTCATCTCCTGGCACAGGGAAATTTCTAGACCACTTAGAGCTGTGAGTCCCAGCTTGGGGGGACACCCTTGACAGGCACATTCTGTCTGTATTAAGGGAAAGAATAGAAGGGGTTTTTAATCCCATTGATTTCTGCACCAGTGCCTCCTAAGGTCACACCCCAAGTGTTGGGTCTTCCCTGCTGACCAGGCTTTTGGTGGAGAAGGAGGAAATTCCTGATTTTCCAAATGAACCTTCAGATAAAGAAATTGTAAAGAAAATGTATCATTGGGGTGTGTGTGTGTGTGTGTGATGGCACCAGGACTTGTACCCAACACCCTGCAGAGACAGGGGGCTCCTTCAGGAGCATTTGGGGCTCACAGGGGGATGAGACCCCTCTTCAGTGGGCAGCTGTGATGACTTTGTAAGTGCTCAGCAAGAGGAGGGAAGCAGGGCCGAATCCAGCACCCTTTTCCTTTCCTCCAGCACTTCAAACACTGCAGGTTAGCCCTTTAGATAAGTGGTTCATGCAACGAGGATTCAACTCTGCCTTTTCCACCCTGGCTGTGTAGGTAACATCAAACATGGCAGGGCAGCCTGAGCAGAGGTGAGGTGGTGTTTGTTTTTTTTACCCCCCCATGAACTCACACTCCCTGCAAGGGGAAATTTGGGGCAGAAATGGCTATTTCCGTGGTGTCGCTCGTCTCCCCGCAGCGTGTGCCGAAGGCGACGGCAAAAACGGAGTTCATGACCCGAGGAGCTATTGCTGCCTGTAATAGTGTGTCGTGTATTAAGGGAGCATGTTTGAAACCACATTATATTATTAAAATTCATAGGAGTGATTTAGAGGGGTTTTTAAAAACAGCAGCTTGCCAATATAAATTGGCTTAGGAAAGTCAACTGTAATCCACCCTGGCCCAAATAATGACATTTCCTCCAATACATCCAAAAAGCTGAAAAGCAGAAAATAATATCCAGGCTCCAGAGATAAGGTGAGTGCCCAAGGGAGAGAGGACTCTGAAATATTCATGCAATGGGAGATTGGCTGGTGGAAATGGCCCTTCCCAGCGGCTGCGTTTAGGGACTGATGAATTTAGTTACTGTACCTTTATATTTATCGCTCAATAAACAAGACAAGCTCCTTTACGACGCCGAGCAAGACTAATTTAGCTATTTTAGCACTAAGGAAATGGCTTTCTGGGCCAGACCAAGGGTTTGATAGTTTTGTATGAAATTAGGAGACTTTGAATTTAGCCAAGGCAGCGAGTGTTAGAGATGTGAATACAGGAGCTGGAGATCCAGATTTGAGGCTGAAGGTCTGCAAGGGGTCAGGCTGCCCAGCTCTGGTTTTTGAAGACCCCAAGCCAAAAGCAGGCACAGCCCTTTGGGATTGGCATTGATGAAGATGTTCCATCGCTTGATTTTTAAAGATTATTTTTGAGGCAGAGGCTGTGGCTGTAAAAGGTTTTATAGCAGCCGCACTGGAATTAAGAGCAGCTTCGTAAAAGTGTCATCAAATGGAGCCGTGATACCCGGGTGGTGTTAGTACTACAATGACCTTTTGGATAGGCAGGAATTTATGGGATCCTATAAATTCTCGCTGCCTTGGCAGGGTTATAGCTGGGACATCAGCAGTAATATCTTCTCCAGCAATACCTGAGGCAGGAACCCAGCATTTGAAGCTGAAAATACCCGAGTATTTCTGGAGAGCTGATATGAGATGTTTCCAGCAGCAATTGGAATGTGTTTGGTCAGAGGAGGTTTCTTTTATGAAAAATGAGTTTTGAATGCTTTGAGACTACTATTATTTCCAACGGCCGAAAATGACAGTGATCTTAATGTGTTGCTTGGAGTTTCTCTATTTCCTTAGTTTCTGTGTCTTTAGTTTCATATTGTCAGGCCTTTTTTGTTACTGCCTGGAAGGGAAAGGCCTTTTTAATGAAAGCCACCAGCTTTATACAATACCTTATACTCCACAGCTGCTCTGTGAAGCACTGTATTCCACTGAACTGCAATGAAAATCCCTCCCAATAAGGTAGTTCTGATCTTATTTTCACCTATGTTGCCACTGGGAAATGAAATCTCTTTTTATCCTTGTATTTATTATGAATGTATATTTAGACAATCCATGCTGAATTTAGCAGTTTTGAGAGCTTCATGGAGTTGTCTGAAGTGACTCCTCACTCAGCTGCTCATTGGAACCCTCTTTAGAAGGTGCTGCTGGGCTCAGGCTCACCCATTTATTCCTCTTAGCTCTGATTGTCCAGGGGCGCTGAGGGACTCAGGATTAATTGGCGATTTATTTGCATCTCCAAGCATGAGGTGTCACACCAGGACCCTGGAGTTCCTCCATTCAACCACCTCCCAGCTGCTGAAGAGCCACCAGCAGCTCCCAGTACTCCAGCCCACCTCACTGAGGGCTTGGCCAGAGGTTTGTGAGCAAAGCAGCAAGGAAAAACATACAAACCAACCAACAAACCCAAACCCCCACCCTCCTCAGCCCTTAAAAACTGCAGTTTGGAAGCTGGGCTTTGAGAAGTGCCAAACTCACCAACCCTCCACTTGGAGTGATGGGGCCCTGATCCCCAGGTGCTGCAGCCCAAAAAAAAGCATCAATCAGACTGAACCACTTTAGCTGATTTATTCTAGCTTTATTTTTTCTTGTACAAGTAGCCACAGGCTAAAATCTAAACAGAGCAAACTACAAAAAAAACCTGGGTTTTATTATTTTTTTATACAGAGCTAACAATCGTAGGATCAGTGGGATTTCAAATATCAAGACAGTTCAAAGTAAGTAAGGTAGAAAATAAACAGTAGAAAAGTGCTTTGCAATTTGGGTTTTTTAATATCATTCTTAACAGCTGATTCCCGAAGAGGCCTGGGACAAAGGTTTAGCACCATCTTTATTAGTACATTATTACAAATGTGAAGATATTGCAAGTTTAAATGGTGGAAATCTGATCAAAGTAAAAATCCCTCTTTGCTTTGTGAGTAATACCCTGATCCAAAGCCCCGTGAAATCCAGCTTTTCCCTGCCTCTCTGGGCTTTGCCCCATCCCTTCTTTTCACACGATGCTGAAGCTCAGACTCTGCTCTTGGAGGAAAACTGGAGCCATTTCCCCATTCCCAACGTTATGGTGGGTTTTGGTGCTGTGCTCCCCCCACCCCCTTTTGGCTGGGGATGCTGCTGCTTCCCACAGAACTATCTCCCTGCCTGCAGCTCCAGCTCAAGCCCCTTCCCTTCCCTTTCCTTTCTTTTAATTTGGTGGGTGAGGAAAATAAATGAGCAAGCATCAAGTTGCTGCACAGGATCTTTTAATCTGCCTTCGCTGGCGCGGGGAGGGATGGATGGATTTCCAACCACTGTTTGCACAGATGAAGTCACTCAGTCCTTCTCCCCCCCACCCCGCACTGCTGCTGTTTATTTTCATAAGCTTTTAATTTCCTTTCTTTTACCCGATCTTCCCAGACCTAAGTGCTGTCAGTCAGCTCAGACAGGGCTCAGACACTGCACCACTTCCCCCTGCAATGCCGTGGGATGGTTATCCTGGAGAAACAACCCTCAACTACCTCCCTGGCAACAAAAATCATCCCTTTATCAGCCAGAAGCAACAACCCTTTGTAGCTTCTCTCGTATTGCTAACTGAAAAAGTACAGTCCCTTGCTGTGATTTTGGGTGGAACCCTGGAAATTCCCAAACTGGTCCAGCACTTAAATATTTCAGCATCTTTACAAAACAAGGAAGAAGAAAGAGATGGGAGATAAATAAATACCTGAATCCAGCAGTGTGAGAATACCCTGTCACAGCCTAAAACTATTCCCTGTTCAACTAAAGACAAGGTGGATACTATCCCTGAGGTAGCAGCCATCTCTGGTAAACTTGAGAGCTCCAAGAAAAGGTTGTGCCCAGTTAAAAAAAAAAAAAAAAAAAAAAAAAAAAAAAAAAAAAAAAAAAAAAAAAAGTAGCTTTTGGATACTTCATTCCTTGCTGGAATTTCATCTCACCACAGCCAGAAGAGCAAGAAGGTTGGTTGTTGTGGGGTTTGTTTGTTTTTTTAATCTGCCCAGAAAAAGCAGCGAGTTGAATTAGTGGAGTTATTTGCTTGGAGAAATCCTAGAGGATGAGATTCCTGCCCCAAATGTGGGCAGTTGCCAGCAGCTTGCACCAGATCCAACAACTGCCCCTTATCTGGTGGTTTTATCTTAGGATAAAACTCTGATTCCTCCCATGAAGAAGAGGGGGATTTTTTAATTTATTTTTTTTTTAAAAAAAGGAACCTGGGAAGTTGTTGCTTAAATATTTGAGGTGTGTAAACGAATGATGGGGTGAAGGGAGCGCTGGTGTGTGGTGAGCTCTGGCAGGATGGGGAGGATCTCACCCCTCCCTAGAGGTTATTGCTGCCTCATCCCTGGAAGTGTTCAAGGGCAGGTTGGATGGGGCTTGGAGGAGTCTGGTCCAGTGGGAGGTGTCCCTGCCTGTGCAGGGATTTGGAACTAGATGATCTTTAAGGTCTTTTCCAACCCAAACCATTCTATGATGTGATGATTCTCAAGGGCGCAAGGTAACAGGAAAAGTCCCTGGGACAGTCCAGCTGGTTCATCCCTCTGGGCCGGGGACTTGGAACATTGCCCTAACACTTTTGCCATGGCACAGCCCCAGGCTGACACACCCCTTCCCATGTCTGGCCTGGGTGTTGGTGGGTTTGCACCAGGGATGCAGCAGAGCTTTTCCCCAAGGCTCAGGAGGGCTCTCGGGACACTGCCACAGCAACTGCCAGCGGTGCAAGGCCATGCTCCCAGAGCAGGTTTTTCCAACAGCCAGCCCAAGCATGAAGGTTATTCCTTTGAAGAAGCTTTTCATTCCATGAAAACATGTACGTGGTCCTGGAAGACCTAGGAGCATTTTTGACACCTGTAAAAATACATCCAACGCACCAGCAGAACACAGGGACTTTCAGTCCTACTTGTCTACCCAGGTACAACTTGTCTACCCAAAGACAACTGTGCCCCAAGCACACCATAAAACTCCAGCCACTTCCCCCAAACACTGGAAGAGTTTGGATGGACCAAGGCCAGACTTGAAGCTGTGCCCTGTGCTGAAACCAAACACAAGCTTTTTCTTTTTTTTTTTTTTTCTTTTTTCTTTCTTGTTTTACAGTTTAAAGCCCAGAGACATTCCAGGCAATGTTTTCCCAAGTTTTTGGTTGGCACAGCTTTGCCTCCAGCTGGGCTCAGGCATCAGTGAATGGTGAGATGACCTGTTACATGTTGCTTCTCCAGCAAAGTGGAGATCACAAAGCCAGAATGTGCCACTTTGAGGCTTTGTTGTTCTATTATTTTATTATTTATTTGGGTTTTCTTTTTCCAAGTTTCATGGACTTGGGAGGCTTACATAATTCAGGGAAGACCATGCTGGATCTCCAAGACTTCAAGCCTTGCATCTCTGGGGGCTGACCTGCCACAACCATCTGTGTTAGGTCCCAACAGTAAAGATTGACAAGAGTGGAAAAGAAACCCCAAAAAAAGAGGAAAAGCTAAACATCTAAAAAAAAGAGCCTTTAAAGATTCACATCCATCTTCAACCATCTCAAACCACCACAGAAGCTGCACTGGTTTAAGCCATTACATTTCTGCATAATTATATATATAAAAAAAGGAAAAGCTCTATTCTTGACATACTATTGTATCTCAACTAGTCAAATGGCACAGCATTTCCCTTTAATAAAAGGAAGTAGTGACAAATACTTGTTACTATTACAATATCACAATAATATGATATTAAATTAATAGCATGTTTGCAGCTCTGGGAAGTCTGAGCTGAAAGGTAAGTCTAAATTCTGTGTTCACTTTGGCAACAGTACGTACTCAATGTGACCGGCGGCGTTTTACACACACACACGCACGCACACACACAGACAGACACAGACACACAGACACAAAGCTGGGCTGGAGCTGACGTGGGATGGCAGGAGGAGAAGGAGATTTTCTTTGATAATGAGATTTTTAACTCAAGACATCTGGCATCTCCTTCTGCCTCCTGCCCTTTCCAAGCCCCAGCATCCACCAGCTCCCCCGATGGGATGGGCTGTGCTACCTGTCTCGCATGGTGCCACCAGTGGTGTCCCTTCCCAGGCTGTCTCCAGGTTCAGCACCACACGAGGGAACATCTCTCCATGGTAGGTGTGAGCAGGAATTGGTCTGATGGCCAATTTAGCCTCTTTGGTGGGGTGGGGAGAGATTATTTGGAGGTTTAATGCAGCAGTTTAACCCTTCACATCTTTCAGTCCTGCAAGATGCCGACAGGAGGAGGAATTCTAGTGAGAGAGGGGTATGAACACGTAGCCTCCAGAGCTCCTTGCTCTCCAGGTCAACATCTGCTTGGGATTAGGTGAGTGATTTGATCCGGAAGGAGGAGTCCTGCTCCCAGCTAACCCAGCCCAGCACCAGGACACAGCCCAGGGAAAG